AAAAAGGCCGTTTCAAAATTCTCAAGGGTCTAGAGAACTCCGAACGTGGGTTTACCCGAAGTATCATGTCCAATTCCAGACAGTTATATTTTAATACAGGAGCCCAAAGGGGAAAAAAAACCCCAAACAACGCAAGTGATGGCAATCATTCCTGCAAACCCATCTCTGGAAATGAAAATATGAAGCTGTGCTTCACGGAGGGAAAAATTAGGGGAAACTCTAAGCAGCTAGCTAGTACCTCACCATGGTATTTCAACTGACAACCAGGGCTGACTGTGGATTCAAGAAAGGGCTATCAGCAAGTCAAAAAGAAGGGCCGCTGGCCTCAAACACAAGACTGAACTCAAACAGGCCACCCTGGGTCAGGAAGAAGTTGTTCTAAGTGGCCTCTACTTCTCAGCTGCTGCTTATCTCATCCGAAGGCGCCATCAGGAGCAACTTACTTTCCGTTCTGGTAGAGCTCCAGCCCTGTCAGCAGGTACACCGACACCTTGCGGAAGAGGCTGTAGTCCTCGTGCCATCGCTGTGGAGGAGGCAAGACAGGCGAAGGGTCAGCGGCGCCACGCACGCGCTTTACGTCCCTTCACGACTCAAAAGTACCCGGTTTTACCCTTCGGAGGGTTTGAACGCCTCTCGGAAGTGACACACAAAGCAACTCCACCAACAGCGCAGACGTTCCTCAAAGCTCGGGAGATCTCCCGCGCTTTCATAGATTCATAGATTTCTAGGTTGGAAAAGACCTTAGAGATCATCGAGTCCAACCATCCCTAATCCCCATGAAACCATATCGCTAAGTAGATCATCCACCCTATTCTTAAACACCTCCAGGGAGGGGGACTCAACCATCTCCCTGGGCAGCCTATATATTCCTTCCCCCTTCCAGCATCCTTCCGCAGGCGCACGCCTTGGACAGCGCTGGACAGCACCGGCTGCGATGGCGCTCTGCTCCCTCACCTTGTACTCCTCCATATTGACGTCGTCGGGACCGATTTCCCTCAGCTTCGCTCGCGCCACCTTCATGATGCTGATTGACCTGCTCCGTGCAAGCAGACAGCGGCACGGTCAGAACGGCCCCGGCCGCTTCCGGACGAGAAAAGGCTCGTCTCGGAATCCCCGGCACAAACCTTTCATCGTAGCTGAGGTTCTTGTCTGCAAACTGCTCCAGAAGGGTCCGTTCCACCACTTGCTGGGGAGCGTTGTTCTGCAGGAAGTACACGAGGACGTGCTGCAAGCGGGCGTCGTTCTGAGGGGTCGGGGTCTCTTTGGCCAGCAGGTAGAGCCGGGAGTAATCCTCGTGGAACGCCTGCCCACGGCACACACGTAGGCCGCCTGCCAACGGAACACACGTAGCCACACGTCTGCTCTCCTGCCCGTGGACACGCCACGGCGGCCGAGACGACGTTTAAACCTGTCCCGTAAAGCCGGGATTCCCGGGGGTGACACCCAGCCCCCGCCGCTCCGTTACGTCCCAGCGGTGGACGGAAGCCCACCAACACCTGGAGCTGGAAGCGAAAGGCACCCGCGCCGCGGCAAAGCGCGCGCGCTTCTCGAGAGCACCCAGGTGTCGAAATGCCTCTCGGAGAGGGGCGCTCGCAGCTGCCTTGGGCTCTCCTGGTCATCCTCTCGCAAGTGCTGGGGCTGTAAAAATCAACTCCAACACGCCTGTATCCGTAGTAGGGTGCACGAGCATCCTGGATTGCTATTCCCGTGGACGAACGGCACGGGTGCTTTCTCCCACGTGGCCGTTTTGGTTAAATCTACCTGCCTGTGAAAACCTAAAACACCAGCTTCGCTATCCAGCAGTGCTTATTCCTTCACATCCCTCTTTTCAACGCAAGCCTTTCTTGAGGACACGTTTTACAGGAGAGGCCACAGCAAGCGTGAGTGTTCAGGACCAAAACAACCCAAATTTCAGGAGTGCTGGTTTATTTTCTGACAATCACAGCGAGGACCTAGACGACCCGCTCTGAACGGCACGAAAAGTCTACTTTTCACTATCCAGATCG